CCAACAAACATAGAATCCAGCAATCAGAAATGTTGAAGGCTAGGATGTTGCACCCCTTATTTTTACCCAGGCTTGCTGGGCACCTGCTCCCTCAGCCTTGCAGGACCTGCTAAAGGGTGAAACATGTCTGTAGGTCAATTGATGATCCATTAGGGAGTGTCCCCAGAGAAAAGAAAGGGCCCTGAGGGCCCCCCTTTTGGCCTTTCCTGCCCCAGCCCAGTGAAAGGAACACAGTTGACATGTTGTTTAAGCTGGAGATGTTGCCTGTATGCGTAAAAGAGCTCTCTGTTTCAGGCTCATGTACAGTCAGGAATGGTTCCTTCTCATCCAACTGCCCATGCGCCAATGATGCTAATGACGACACAGCCACCCGGCGGTCCCCAGGCCGCCCTCGCTCAAAGTGCACTACAGCCCATTCCAGTCTCGACAACAGCGCATTTCCCCTATATGACGCACCCTTCAGGTGAGGCGTGTGTGTGCAGGGGCCGCCGGGCACCCCAAAGCATTCTGCTCGCACAGGTCGAATGGCAGGCAGGGCCAGCGCTTCAAGCCCCGCATTTGAGAACTTAGCAAGACCCGTCAGAGTGTGCACAGTAGGGACTGTGATGATCAGTTCAGTGTCAGGGCCTGAGGCTTCCAGGAGCCGAGTCTGTGTGTGTTCTGATGGTATACAGGATTTGGCTTGATGAGAAGCAGCAGCATTCTGTGTGGCTGATGCATGCTTAGGACTCAGTTGGCCTTCCTTGTTACAGTAGGCTGGACAGGGCAGCGTTTTCCTTCCTTAGTCCCTGCCCCGCGCTCCCCCCTCCCCCGCCCCCAGTCTGACGGGGGTGGTTACCACCATGGCAGAGTTTGACTGTAGCTCTGGAGAAGACTACTGATGAGAAAGTGTGCTGTGTGTGGATTGGTTTTGAGTGTAGCCTTAGCTCCAGCCTATGCCCTGACAGGAAGAGAAGTCCCCGCGATTGTGCTCTCATACTTGATGGCTGCCATGGCAATAGTTCACAGTCTGACCTGTTACTCTGAAAGCAGTACTGGTGCTTGGCTAGTATCTGGGGAGGGGGTATGTTAAGGCCTTTTTTCTACCCCATGAGCAACAAGTCTTCTGGGAGTTTTATCTGAAGTGGTTTTACATCTGACTGGTTTGTTTCTACCCACCCACCTACCCCTCCCCCTTTTGGTGCAGATGGGAGGGGGAAGAGTGAATTAAATTTTGAGTCTGTTCAGCTAGCACAAGGGTAGTTTACAGTCATGTGCTGCAGAGACACTAGGCTAATGTGCGGTGTTGCCAGTTTTCTGTTTAAATATCCACTTTTCTTTCTTACAGTACAAGCCCACCACCAACAGCAGTTGTAAGGCTGCCCTGGAGGAACCGAAAGGCCAAATTCCCTCCTCCCTTCTACTGCTTCTACCAACTGGAAGCACAGAAAACTAGAATTTCATTTATTTTGTTTTTTAAAAATATATGTTGATTTCTTGTAACATCCAATAGGAATGCTAACAGTTCACTTGCAGTGGAAGATATTTGGACCGAGTAGAGGCATTTAGGAACTTGTGGGCTGTTCCATAATTCCATATGCTGTTTCAGAGTCCCGCAAGTACCCCAGCTCTGCTTGCTGAAACTGGAAGTTATTTATTTTTTAATGACCCTCGAAAGTCATGAACACATCAGCTAGCAAAAGAAGTAACAAGAGTGATTCTTGCTGCTATTACTGCTAAAAAAAAAAAAAAAAAAAAAAAAAAAAAAAATCAAGACTTGGAACGCCCTTTTACTAAACTTGACAAAGGTTCAGTAAATTCTTACCGTCAAAATGACGGGTTATTATTTATAAATCAAGTTTGATGGAGTGATCACTGTCTACAGTGGTTCAACTTTTAAGTTAAGGGAAAAACTTTTACTTTGTAGATAATATAAAATAAAAACTTAAAAAAAATTAAAAAATAAAAAAAGTTTTAAAAACTGATACCAAGTTAGTCTGTGTTTGTATAAGCTTAAGATATTTCTGTTATAGGATACTTCATATCGAGGCAGGAGGGCTGAGTGTGCTTTCTTAAATATCCTGGAAGGTTAGTTGTCAAATGACTTTTCTTCTTCACCTTTAGTTCTGGTTCAAGGTATCTCTAGAAAAAGACAAGACTGAGACATTCTCTTTGGTGGATAAAGGTCCGCTCCAGAAGGAGGAAGGCTGGCCAGAGCTGGGCAGCACTGAGATCCCACATCCTCAGCCTGACGCTGGTTCTGTAAGCTTCCTTTTTAATATCTCCTGAACCCAGATGAGTGTTGTTAGTCAGAAGTTGTCCTGATTCACACACCTGTTTTACCAGTAGGGGGCAGGAGACACCTTTTAAAAAGAAACTGATAAATCCAGAGGGCTGAAAAGCTAAAACAATGCAGCATGTACAAAGTAGCTTATTGCCTTAGACTCACAACATTGCTCGTGTTCCCCCTTTGGGGGAGACAGAGGGAAAAGCAAGTAATTGAGCAGAGCAAGGATTTTGCAGAGACCATAGTCCTGTAATGATAGAGCCTTTAAATATTGCAGCAACAAGTCAAGATTCTGAAAACTTTTTTTAATTCATGTGTAGCAATTTGTACATTATAGCAAAATTTTTCAAGAATAAGTTACTTGTACAGTACATAAACAATACATAAAAATTTGCCAAATACCTTCTGCCTATAATGATATAGAATGAATCCATTTACACTGTTGTCATTACAATGTGCTGCTTATTCCAGCCAAACACTGGGTGTCAGATATGTTCTTAAGAGGCAGTGGATAATATACTATCAAGTTCCTCAAGCCTGTGGGAGATGTTAGAGCTCACATGACATTTGCGATAGGAGACGTAGCCCTGAATTAAAAGCATGAAGGAATCTCAGGCAACACTTAGGGAAGAGTTCAAGGCCTGAATTTTAGGTTAAGAAACTGTTATGTAAAAATAGTGTTCTCTGGCCTAAGATTTTAACGATTGCTATTCCTTTTTCCTACACGGTCCAGAAATGATCAAAGGCAGAAGATTTATACCAGATAAAGCCATATGGATTGCTGGTCTAAAATTCAAGGCAGGTTAGTTGACTTAATTCTTTGGTGCTGGTGACTGTTAGTTTGTAAAAGTTCATTCAAGACAGAAGAAGGAAGTGATGGTGCTGGGAGCAGTCAAGCTATCCTTGTTGTCTGTCACTAGAGATTAACTGGAGGGATCATAGTGCTTACTATCCATTTGGCATTCAGAACCTGGCCTCTCAGTGGAGGCTGTTGGCTTGGCTTCTTGCTGTCAGCAGCGGTCACACTGGGGCCGGGAGGGTGGTGTGGGGTATGCTGTGACCGTGTGTGATGAGCTTTCTCTAAGAGAAATCCAGAACAGTGGTTACTTCTCTGGTTCACACTTCACTTAGCATTCATTATGTAGAGAAACCTGATTGATGTGTAGAAAAATGAAGGAAAGAAGTGTCCTTAGAAAAAGACCACAAATCTGGATCGGATCTGCCTTACAATCTTCAAACACCCAGGAGCATTGGTTTTTAAAGTGGTTAAGAGGTGACTGCCCCCTCTACCCTCCCCACCCTGCCCAAAAGAAACCCCAGAAAATTCTAGAAGCAAAAGTCTGACCTCTGGGAATGCAGAGAATGGCAGGAGGGATCAAACCAAACCCTCACCCCAGATAAGGCAGGCAGTAGTTAGTTTTAGGCCAGGGTTTAAAGTTAGCCTCTGATTGATGTATCTATAAATGTTAAACTGTGCTAAACTCCCAGTTTCCTAGAAGCCACTTTGGTAAGCCTGGTGGCTCTACTGAATGGCTCTGCTGACACCCAGGAGCAGCTGGCTCCACTCTGTCACTGCCCGCCTTGTTTCAGAGCCTCTGCAGGAAAGTTCTGGGAGGAGCCAGCTCCCCTGTGAATTGTGTTACTGGTGAAAGGCGAGTATAGATGGAGATTTGACTGCAGGATCCCTGGCTGGTGGAGACGATGTGTGCCCGTGTGTACGTGCGCTCACATTCCTCACCAAGTGAAGCAGTAAGCAGCTGGAACAGAACACTGATTGTGGGCTGTTAAAGGAGTTTCTCATTAGCTGTGGCATCAGATTCCTAGCTCCTATCTTGGCTCAAGAATGAGCCTAAAACCTTGTGGGATAGTTTATAAGCCATTAGATGCCCTGGGCGGGGGTTCTGAGCCAGTCCTTTTGGCTGTTTGCTTGTCCCCCCCTCACCCCTTAAACTAGTTTAACTCTCACCAGAAAGTGGCTATAAACCAGAATCCAGTTTTTTATTCATAAGGCACCAGGGTAGAACTATTCCTTGCCACCCTCCTATTTCAGTAATTGCCTGAATTTCCCTGAAAGGGTGACATACTTCATTTCTCTATATTTAGGAAGGACAGTGGCTACTCAGCAGGTGACTGTCCTGAGGATGAAAAAAAATGGAAGCCAGGCATGCTGGCTCAGACCTGGAACTAGTCAAGTAGGGTTTGCATAGCTGTCTCCGAACTACAAAACTGCATGGGTATTAAAGAGTGCAATGAAATAAGCAATAATTGAATTTCAAAACCTGAATCCTTTGAAAAATTAATCTGAGGTAAAATGTTTAAAACAATTTTTAACCTTGAACTTTGTCCTAAAGCTGCGAGGCAGAGCACGAGTGGTGTGTTCATCTCTGGTGTGGGTGACGGCAGACGTGCCGCGTGGACTGGCAAACCATATGAGAATCCAGGGCTTGTTAGTGTTTTGGGCTTCCTGACGACCCCCCCCACCCCCCCCTGAAAGTCTGCCATCAGCTGTGACAGTGTCAGTGAGAAAGAGAACCCAGGTTCCGCCACCAGCTCTGGCCCTCAGCCCACCACGTCCTGTAAGAGGGATGGGGACCGGTCCTGGGGACTCGGGGCGAGAACCAGTGGCATCTGTGAACAAGAACTATATCTGTAAACAATAAGGAGAAAGCCAATTGATGGACTGATGAAACTTACAGGAGGCCCTTTAACAGGCCTATTAGAAGGGTCACATCCAAACTGGAATGTGCAGTTAGCAGTGTCCCTTAAATCTCTCTCTGGAAGGAAGGAAAGAAAGTTACATTCACAAGTTCACATCTCTGCTTGCTTGTGTTCTTCGGGGGCATGTGTGAGGCCTGGGCTTCCTCACTGCCCATCAGAGAGGTGTGTACTGATTGTCTATGGCCCGTAGATGGCTCCGGGAGGAGGAGTCCATTTCGTAGTCTGAGTCCCGGGCTCGACTGGCAGGTTCAGGCTCCAGGTGCCGCAGGCTGTTGGCCAGTTCCTCGGGCGAAGGCACCAGGTGGAATATCTGCTCTGGGGGAGAGGATCGGCCGGGGAGACCCTCTGGGCCAAGCCCCCGCGGACAGCCAGAAGAGCTAAGGTGGGGAAGGCCCAGCTCCGAATCCCAGTGAGCGAGGGAGAAGGGGAACAAGACAGTGTTGGAGGAACCTGGGGGACAAGTGACCGAGAGAGAGACCAACACGGTCAGTCTTAATGTGACGGGGCAGATGTTGGAAGAACACAAAAACAGATCTCTGTGCCCCTGGGTTTGCAGCAAGCTTTACCCTCTACCTGGTTCCCTGTGCCACCCACCCCCTTTACCAAGGGTCACACCTGGTGGCTGGGAGACCACTACCACGTAGCTGGACAAGCGGACGTCACAGGCAGCACCACACTCGAGCGGGATGGGGGAGCGCTGGAAGTGGCGTAGCATGTCCACGACGGAGGGGAAGTGGAGATGCTGCACTCGGCACTGGCCCCGCTCGGTCAGCGACAGGCGCAGGTGCTATAGGAGGAGAGGAGGCTCAGCCACTGGCCACCGAGGGCCTTGAACTTGGGGTTGGGGGGGGTCCAGCCCCACCTACCATGCCCCCTACCTTGGCTATGCCTTGGAAGTTGAATGTGAGCACATACTCTCCACGCCGTGTCTCACTCTGCCGTACCAGGAACACTCCGTGAGCGTCAGGACCCTGCAGCTGAACCAGCTGGGCTGCCTTCACCCGGGAGATGGGGCCGTGGAACCAGGGGTAGCAGGACAGGAAGTGATCTGTTTTCTGACAGGCGGGGTCAAGCAACCCCCCAGGAGAAGCACCTGGTAGACAAGATGGGTGGTGGTGACCCCCTGTGGGTACCTTACGTCCTGGGCTGAAGCTGGTTCTGCCTTATACAGAGGAGGGAGTCCGGGACCCACTCACCTTGGTTCAGGGAATCTGTGCTTCCCCTCAGAGAGTTGGACGTGCCAGGCTCTAGGGCTGAGGGAATATGTGTCTCTGGGTCTGTGCTCTCCAACCTGCTGAAGAGGCTGAGGTTAGGATCTGGGTAGAGCAGGGGAGTAGGAAAAGCTGGGCCAGGAGTGGGGCCCTATGGTCTGGGGCCTCACCCTTGGCCTGTGCACTCCCGGAGCTCAGCCATCCAGGAATTCAGCTGCTGCTCGTCCCCCACCTCAAAGATGATGTCTGTCCGGTCCTTCACCTGGCAGGGAGGAAGGGAGTGGCTGTGTGGGTGCCTCGGGTGTGTAGGTGTGAGCCCCGGGTGGGAAAAGCTGTCACTCACCTTCAGGACAAAGGTGTAGAGGTTGTCCGGCATCTCGAGGCGTGTGCATCGCCGGACTTCCTGGATATTGGAGCAGGCTGCTTGTAGCTTGGGCTTTGAACTCTAGGAGACCAAGGTGGGGCACTTGAGGCTTGTTCCTTATGGCCCTTCACCCACCTAGGCCTCTTTTTCTGCAGTCGCCCCAAGGGCTTAGCTGGGTGAGTGAGTGCTCATGGTGCTGCCAGGCAGGCTCCCCAAGCCTGGAACAAGGTCTGGCATTCTTGCTTTCCAGAGCCTTGCCGAGGGCCCTTCTGTAGCCTCTAAGCACTGTTCCCACACCCCCACACACTGAGATCCTCCAAAACCTATGTTAGCTGAGGGCCAACCCCCTCTTTACCTGAACCTGTCTCTGACCGGTTTTTGTCTGCTGACATCTGTTTCTCCTTCCACTGGTGGAGCAGAGAGCCCCCCCGCCCCGCCCCAACCCAGCCAGGTCAGACGGCTGCTGACCCCCTCATCAAAAGAAGCCTGGAGAGGACTTGAGGGTATCCAACCCAACTCACATTTCCCTCTGTGGCGCTGTGCCAGGGGCCTCAAGGCCTTTGTCCTGCCTTAGTTTGGTCCACCGCCCCCCCATCAGTTCCTCATTAGTGCAGGCCTGTCTTGACGTAACATCAGCTGTAGGAAACAGATACTCTCACCAACATCTTAAAGAGACGAAACTCAAATTTTGGAGGTGAAGTCCTTTGCCTGAGGGAGGGTAGATGAGGTTTTTACCTCTGTCCACAGTATACAGCCTAGAACCTCAAACTGCCACACCTAACTAATCTGCCTGTCTTCAAGTCTGAGGGTAAGGAGGGGTGGATTTTTGGCTTCAGGGTGGAGGTTGGCAGAGTAGATTAGCCACAGGCTCTTGGGGCTTCTGCCAACATCCCTAAAGGGACAAGCCCTGGTATGGCTGGCCCTAGTCAGAACCAGCTGGAAACCTACACAAAACCTTGGACCCAGGAGTCTCCTGTGACATCCCAACATACATGAGGTTCAGAGTGTGTGGGAAGTGGTCCCCTACCCCTTTGCCAGCAAGGGCTCTTCTCCTGGGTCCTGACTGAACCTGGCTAAGCAGGGGCTGACCTTGCAGATGCCTGTTCCTGAAGAGCAGGAAGCTCTGGGGTACCCTAGAACACAGGAGCCAGCAGCTCGAGGGCAGCAGTTTCTCAGAAAGGAGGTCTCCCTTCTGCCCACCCCCATCTCCTCCTCTTGTGATAAGGGTGATAAGATTGTTTCTCCCGGGGTCATGAGATAATCAATGGCTGCTTCCAGCAGGGGCCAGAGCAGGTAAAGGCAGGAGCCAGAGATGAGGGGGGAATGGACAGGGAGGCTCGACTGGGCCCCATCTCTCCAGTACCTCTCTCTTTCCAAGGACCAGGAGAAAGCCAGGCCCACCTGGGAAGACCAGCCCAACCAAGCCAACATAGGGCAGGGGCAGAGGGATGAAAACAAAGCAGGCCCAAAGGCTAGTTCTGGCACTGTGGCTTTGGGGGAATCCGACCTCCACACCTTGGGCAGAAGCTGCCTTTTCAAGAAGTGGTACAAGAGCCCATCCCCAAAGCCACGTGTGTAACTGCTCGGGACACGCAGGCACCAGGTGTCTCTGATAGAAGGATGGTGACCTAGGGCCAGGCCACCTGCCTTCAGCTACTGCCCACCTGCAGGGGGGTTGGTGAACAGTGAGGCAAGGGGCAGCCTGGCAGGAAAGGGCCAAATTGGGGCTCTTCCCAGTCCAGGCTCCCCCTGCCCCCAGCAGTCCGGAGGGAATAACAACCCTAGGAACCCCTGACGTTTGCCGTGGTGGACTGCCTCGTCTCACTAACGCGATAAAAGAGGGAGCAAGCTCAGAGAGGTGGCCAGTCAGTTCCACCTCTGACCACCAGCCAGGGGGTTTTATCTTTCAGGTTTGTCTTATGTGTCCCCCATACCCTGGGAGCCCATGAGATGTTGGGGCAGTACTGACATGGGCCCTGGGTGTGCCGGAGTGCACATGGCTCAGCTCTCAGAGCCCGTTTCCCTTCTGCAAAATGGGTAAGGTACCTGGGTCGTTTGCTTCCTTCTCCTGCTTTTGCAGTTGGCTCTGCCTGGCCCCCAAGTCTCCCCACTGGCTCTGGGCCCTCAGGATCACTGGGAGGAAGCAGGCCAGGCCAAGAGGGAACAGGACGAGTCTCCCTTTCCGCTCTGGGCCCTGGCCCCAGGGTGAATGTTGAGATGAACCAGCAGAGCCACTGGCTTCACTCTGATGTGGGGCCTCCCTGCCTGCGCTCTCCCCAGCAGCTGGGGGACTGCTGGCCCGGCAGGCGGTGGTGAAGAGGAGTCCCCTCTCCCCCAAGGGCCGCCCCTGGCTGCACAGCTGCTGCCTCCCATCTGCCCCCCTGGCTAAGCTGACACACGTTCTACCTGACTCCTCTCAGGCAGCTGGGGCGGGGCAGCTGCCCCAGCCAGTCCAGTTGTCTCCCCCCCGTTGCTGTACAGCTAGGGGCACAGCCGGGATCTGAACCCCCGAGTTGGTGTGTCCCACTACTGTGATGGTGGGGAGAGGCCACAGGCTCTGCCCAGACTGGAGGGGTGAGTGAGCACAGCCCTAGCTGGATGGTCCAGAGCAGGACTCGAGAGCACTGGTCACGTGTGGAAGGACCAATGGATGCCTTCCTGGTTGAGCAATGTAGTGGGACAGAGCTGGGATGGAGAGCTGAGCCCAAACTCTGGGGCTGGATCAGCAGCTACAGGAACATTAGGGGACTCCAGGTTCCCCTCTCTAGCATGCCCTCTATCCCACCTGCTCTCTAGACCCACCTCAGAGTCACACCTGAGTGACTGAAATGGCCAAAGCACTCCAGATAATGTGATGTAAGCAAGTAGCATGTCACTCACTACGTCCCCTCCTGGGAAGCAAGTTTTGGCGCCCAGCATCCACAAAGCTAGCTGCTTTCCTATGGCCGCTGTGACTCCAGGGGGAATGACCCATTTCTTTCTTTGCCCTGGCTGCTAGGAAGGTCGAAGGCAAAGGTGCAGATCAGCTCTGACACTGTCTACCCCCCCCAATAGGGCTTGCATTTCTGTACCTGACTTTATCTAGGCTGTATACTTCTCTTATCCCTCTAGATGTTAGTGTTCAGTCTTGTCTCTGCCACTTCCTCTGTAACTCTGGCCCAGTGGCTCAGTCCTCCATCAGTGCTGTCATCTATAAAGCGGAGATATTTAATAGTCACTCTCTCCTTGCACAGGTGCTATGGTGACTGGGTAAACTACTGCAAGTGGGGGGGAGAAAAAAACAAAAACCGGCCTGACAAACATCTGTTGTTAAATTTCTAGGCTGGGGTGAGGCCAGCCAAAGTGGGTAAAGCCTGGGGTCCACTGTCGTTACAGTACAACAGCTTCCCCTCCAAATGGCCCAGGGACTGGACACACACGTGTCTCCTTTCAGCCCATCCTGCAGTGAAATCCACATGTCATCTAACCTACCTATATATGTGCCCTAATGAAAGTAAGGGAAAAACAAAAGAATGTAGTTTATGTTAAGATGTATTTTGGGGGCACCTGGGTGACTCAGTCGGTTAAGCATCCTCTGCCTTCGGCTCAGGTCACAATCACAATCCCCAGATTCTGTGATCCAGCCCCAAGTTGGGCTCCCTGCTCAGCAGGGAGTCTGCTTCTCCCTCTCCCTCTGCTCCTCCCTGCCCTGCTTGTGCTCACTCACTCTCTAACAAATAATCTCTCTTTAGAAATGTATTTCAATGTGACTATGCAGACAACACAATGAACCACTCAGGTGCTTCTGAGTTTGTTTTAGAAAAGATCGAGAATATAAAGGAGCCAGAGAGCAGGGTAAGCCCTAAGAGAACAATTAGTCTGTTCAGTGGACATTAAAACTGGGCAGAAAGTTCCATGTGTTTCTATGAGACTGTACCATTCTGGCTCTAGGTTTGTCATCTCTTTTAGAGGGTGGCATGGACATCTCTGCCTCAACCAGTGGGTTTACCTGGGCCTCCCCGACCCCCACTGACCCATGGGTCCCCTTGCCCCCACTGGTGGGGATTTGGGCTTCAAATCTGCCTAGGGGGATTTGAGGGTGACAACTGAAACCAGACCTATAGTCTTGTTTTCCCTCATGCTGTCACCTAGAAATTGTCCCATGAGCTGCTTCTGTTGCCCATGTGCTAAGTTAGAGCAGGGCCACAGGCATGGGCTGAGGGCAGGGATGGCCCTTCCAGAGTCTCCCAAGGTAACAGGCTGTATCCCACTCCGCCATCTCCTCACAAGCACCTTGAATGGGGCCTATCACCATTCGTTCCTTCAAGACCCCAGCAGAGGGACTAGCCAAGCCCTCACTGAACTCCAGGTGCCAATGCCCCAGTGGAAACAAGATACACAGTCCCGGACTCATGTAGTTACCCTTGTAACGAGGGAGACAGATGCCCGACAGGAAGGACCCAGGCAGGTGGGGGAATCTGTGAAGGGTCACAGAAACCATGTGGGCTCACCTCAGCTATGAGGAGAGGATAGCTGAGCTTCCCAGGCACCAGGATGGCCCCTGCAAAGGCCCTGAGGTGGGAAAGCACATGAGCACCTAAGGAGGCTGATGGGACTCCTGTACCCAGCGAGGTGGTTACCGTAGGGCGCCAGAATTCCCCATGCGGTCCTGAGGCTGTGGGGGTCAGTTTGGGCTCTAAGGCGGAACGAGTGGAAATGGCACCTGATGTACACTTCAGAAGCTCCAGGGAGCTCATGCTAAATACCTCGACAGCAGCATACCTGCTAGTTGGGCCAGACCAGCACTTAATTCACACCCAAGTAGTGAAGGGCCTGGCACAGAGGGCCCAGTGGTGGTGTGGGCAGGGCAGGCCCTCACAATGGCCTTATTCCGTCCACGGCATCCCACCTAGCCACTGGAGAAGCCCTTATCCAGTGAAAGCCTCGAGGAGAGGCGTCTCACCATCTGGAATCCCAGATTCCAGCAGCAGCCTCCCTGGCAGTCTTGTCTCTCCCAGGGCTTTGGGCCCTCACTCCTCTCCTACAAAGAACAGCAGTGGGACAGGAAGTAGGAGACAGCGTACAGTTGGAAGTCTAGGTCC